AACATTAGGTTTATTGGGTTGTTGTAGGTTTTTCAGGCTATATGGCCATGTTCTAGAGGCATTCTCTCGAATGCCTCTAGAACATGGCCATATAGCCCGAAAAACCTACAACAACCCAGTGATTCCGGCCATTAAAGCCTTCGACAATACATTAGGTTTGTTCATGTAATGGTAAATAGAGGTTGAGGGTTGCATCCAAATACAATCAATGACTCTTATGGGAAGGGAACCTTGCATCTTAATTGCAAATTAACTGAGATTTACGGTTCTTTCTCAAGAAAAGAAAAGAAAATGATGTATTCTAACATCTGTGTATCCAAGCAATCACATATTCTGTAGAACAGCAGAGAGAAAAGAAAAACCAAAAAGTACAGAATGCCAATGAACAAAAATGTATTTAAGAATTTGCTATTATTGTTTTATCTGGACTTTTACCTTCTGAGATGAAGAAAGATAATAATCTTAAGCATACTTAACTTTAAAGTAAGAACCACTGAAATCACTAGGTTTGCTTCTGAAAAGTATTTGGAACACAGAAGTAATCCCCCCTCCCCCCCCCACCCCAAATCCATCAAATTTGCGAAGAGAAGAAGCAGTGGCAAGAGATGCATATAAGCTTGGAAAATAAACTAGCAACTCAGCCGCACTCCAGGGTATTTGAAGCCCATTCCATAGAGAGTTCAAGCAATTATCTTCAGTCACCAGGCTACAAACTGCTCCTTGTCACTATCACATAAGAATGTCTTGACACTAACAAGAAAACTTTGTTCTTCTGTATTAACAGGTGAATAGAACTATAACATCTTCTATTCAGTCTTCCCGCAGATATGTGGAACTACAGTGCCCATAATTCCCAACCATTTGCTGCCTATGGCTTGTGAGTGTGCAGACCATCTATGTTCCTCTGTACATTGCTAACAACAAAATCCCCTATGTAATGTGAGAAGCAATGGCAATTTGGTGCTCAACTATAATACCCAACCCTATCATAAAACTTCACCACCAGACATTATCTTCTTTCAACAAAGATTTCAACCCATTTGGAGGGCACCAAACTGAGGAAGAAATGCATACATTACAGTTTACATTACAGAGAAGATAATATTCTGAAATATTTATGTCCTGGGCTACAGCCAAAAGCACTTTACAATACAATAGCTCCTCCAGTTTTACAGATGTTAGGGATGCACAATCTGTGAAAGTGGGGAGCCTACTGTAGGGAAAAAAATATGGATTTAAAAACACTTTTTGAAATACCTGAGATAATTTGTTTATTATTTATTTCTGGTATTTCTACCCCATCTCTTCTCTACTCACAAAGGGGGACTCAGGACGACTTACATTTAGTAACAGTACAAGGCCGCTACATAACCATTACAATAATATAGCCACAATTAAATACAAAAAGCAATCATTAAAACCAGTATATACAGCATTAATTAAAAACAGTAAAACAATATCACAGTATCATCTACCATAACGCCACTGCAGTCAATGTCCAACTAAAGTGCTAATTATGTCTGCTGTCCAAAAGCCTGGTCCCAAAACAATGATTTTAATTTTTTCCTGAAAGCCAGGAGGGATGGAATCATTCTTATCTCATTTGGGAGAGCGTTCCATAGGCGGGGGGCCACAGCCGAGAAGGCGCTGTCTCTCGCCAAACGCATTTGCCTTTGCGATAACACCTCTTTAGGAATCTCTAGGACCTCCAGCACAATTCTATGGTCAGTTCCTAGATAGTCATGTTAGAGAAGCTAAAGATTATTAGAGACAACATATTAATCAAATCTGCAACTAATCAAACAGGCAAAAGTTAAATCTGCAAATATGGAAGGGCAACTGTATACATCCCAGTTATCTTCAAAAATACCGAGTTCCACATAAGTTGGATAGCTCTTAATCTAATACACCAAAACCTCCAAGCAAAGACAATCATAGATACACTAGTGTGAATCCTATTGATTTTGTTGTTGTTCATTCGTTCAGTCGTCTCCGACTCTTCGTGACCTCATGGACCAGCCCACGCCAGAGCTCCCTGTCGGCCGTTACCACCCAAA